GAAGCATTATACAGATAAATTCAAAGACAATGACGTGTAATCTTCAATATCGCTGCTTCGGACGGTTTGAGAGCCCTGGGGCTTGCGTGAGCCGTCCAAGGCAGATGAAGCCTTCTCTGTGGCTGCGCCTTCACTTGTGAGGTCAGCGCCACGGCACACGGTTACCTGTGCACAGTCTGACTGGAAAAATATTGTCCATTCTGACTACGGAGACCGTCTAATTATACTGCGTTAAGCTCAGAGTCAGATTTGTCGCTCTCTCTGCAGTGACTTTGACCTGGAGTCGATTTGTGTCCTGTGACTAGCGAATTTTCGACAAGCTACATATATGTGTGGAATTCAGTCGCTGTCTGGAGGAGAATTCTAGCGGCCGACTGCACTGCCAGTCGTTTTCTGTGTTTTTTTCTGACAATTCCTGGCGAATGTCAGAGCGGATCTGTAACAAACGGACGGACCACATACCGTGCGCGATTTTTCCTTACTCTTCCTTGTCCTCTCCTCTCACCTCCCTGACATCCTCTCTCTCTCTCTCTCTCTCTCTCTCTCTCTCAACCTGGAGCTTAGCGTGCCCTGGCAGGGACGGTACCCTGCTAGAAGGAGATACCCGGATCCCCCGCAAGCGGACGTGTAGGTCGGCGCCGAATCTCCGCCATCCAGTGGGGAAAGAATCACCACCACCTTCCTGGATGAAAACGTTCACTACTCTGAAGGGGGTTCATGACCCCAGGTGTTGACATGGAAGCGTTAATCAGTTCCATCAGTCAGTCGTCTAAATACGATAATATCATGGACGGCTAAATCCGTTTCAGGTTGAGCGTCTTTGAAATTTTGTTTCTACTTTTCTTGCCCTATGATACCTCTTGCTACACAGTCGCCACATGCGTGTTGCACGTTGCCTACCCGTCATCCACATATTAGTATTTTTTATCTGCACTCAACGAGTTCATCCCTTGATATTTACAATGATTATGCAGAAAGAATCTCTAGAAAACATACCAGAAATAACTTCTAACGCCATTAAACCGCCGCAGCCGAACGCACCGCTCTTAATCCATATCACATTCACCTGACTAGAGAATTCTTTCAAATGCAAGGTAATACCGCGCAAAAATGGATATTGAAAAAAATACTAATGTAAGTTGCTAAAATGTGAGAATGTTCGTGACAATGTAGTGTCCTGCGTGATGAGCTATTTCAGAAATATTAAAAGAAGAATGTGACATTTATGAGATGGCAATCGTTTCCAAACCATCTGGGGCTTCTGATAGTAACAAGAGAAGCCACACCTGGCACAAGAGATCTGCGCTATTTGTAAACTATTTTGGTCGAAATGTAGTTGATCTTGTTACTGCCTCAAGCCTTTCATACTACATGGATGAACCAGACATGAAATGAGTAACAAGATAATATTCCACACTTAGACAAAAATCAATATGTTAACATTTTCAAATAACGGGAGTCTTCCTACGGCTAATGGAACATATATTGTTATTGTCTCAAGCTCTTCAATTGAATACTCTATTACCCTTGCATTAGTTGATTGATTCAAATTTCTGGACTTTGAATTCCGACACTTCTAAAAATATGGATATTGAAAAATTGTAAATCGCATAATTTAGTTCCATATGTGGAAGAATTTGAAGAACTATGAAATGCAAAACTAGGAGATATACCATGATAAAACTACCCAGGAACTGCGAGAAAATAAAAAACCAATACAATTTCAGTTTTGACACAAAAATGCAAATATTTGATTATTGGTTTCCGTCTAATATCATTTTGCGCGAACCGACTAAATTCTGATTGTTAGTGCGTCACTGCTTACGTTACAGCAGATATGATATGACAGAAAGTCTGCAAGGAAGATGCCACACGCCGTTAATTAATTATTTACTATTCACGTGTTGTGTTACGGAACAACGTTTTTTTTATTTTCTGGGTATGTAGAGTCCAGTTGTACTGTTTATTCGCAAAAACTATGTTATTGCAATGTTCGTGAAGGCGGTTTTTGTGAAAATGTCAATTTATTGTAGTATTACACGAGAGCATTTTATTTGTATTTCTTGAGCAGTGTGTTCTAATTTTCGAACTACAAGAAATTTTTTTTGTGGTTTTATTCACCAGTAGGTATCTCCCACCAGTAGGGCACCGCCCCAGTTGGCACAAGCTCTAAGCTCCCGACCGGTCTTCCAGCATGTGTGTTCGTGTAGTGTACGTAAATGTGTGTGTAAATAGGGGATGAGATAGGGCAAGGGATGGGAAGGAATGATCACGCGCGATCCTCAGCCCGTTTTTTAGGATACTGCTTCCGCATTCGCCTGGTATTGATCGTAGAAACCACCAAACACTATCGATCAGAGCGGCCAGCCGTTAGCATTCTCCTCCAGACAGCGACCGAACGTGATCTAGTTAGTGTCATCCTGACAAAGTCGGGATTCGTACCTAGGACCTCCCGGTCAGAGGCACTGCAGTGACATCTGTTGCTACTCTGAGCCACGTCTCTCGCTTTTTGTCTCAGCGGAAGGGCGATTGCGCCCATTGTGCGCGCGTCGTGCGCCGCCAGTCCTCGTTCCAGCGCCGCGGTCCGTCTCCTCGGGCCGTCTTTGTGCTCCACTTTGCGTAACCCCGAAGACCCGTGTGGGCGCTCTTGGCCGCATAGGCCCCGCCGCGCCTCCCGCGCCCTCGAGCCTGTGCGCCGCGCCGCGGCGTGCTTGTACCTGGTGAAACGTCACGCACGACGTGGAGAGCGCTCGCTTTGGAGAACGGCGGCGGAGGCGGCAGAAGCGGCCTTAGTGGCGATGGCGGTGGTGATGGTGGTGGTGATAGGGGTGGTGATGGCGGTGGCGGCGGAGGTGGTTGTGGCTGCGGCGGCTGTGGCGGCGGCGGTGAAGAGGTAGAAGGCGTCGGAGGCGGTGGTGACGGCCACGATGAGCACGGGGGTGAATGCGGAGGTGGTTGCTAAGGTGACGTTCGCTGGGGCAGTAGTTGCGGAACGGCGGCGGCTGTGGTGGGGACAGCGGGACCGGTGTTACGCGCAGCTATGGTAGCGAGGTTGTAAAGTTCAAAGGCTGCGATGACAATATCAATGGAGAAAATGAAGATGGACGGGGCTGCGGAGGTGCTGGAACGAGCGCGGGAATGGCGTTGGGAGGTGGGAGAAATTGGAACAGATGCGTGTGCGTTAGTCGGGCAACGAGGGAAGCATGAGGCAGTAACTGTGGAAATGTTGAAGCTGTCGGAGGCAGGGGTGTCGGTAAAGACGGAGACTGTTGCTGAGGTGACGGTGGTGAAGACAGAAAAGGCAACAGTGACGAAAGACAGGCTGATACGGCGATGGTGTCCATGGGGACAGTTGTGGCTGAAATGGCGGGAATGTGCGGTTACAGAGACTGAGGTAACAACATCCAGGAAAAAACATGAAGACGAATGTGTTCGATAATAACGGCGGTGATGGTTTTGGGCGGGGTGTGAAGAGGAATTGGCTGCGGAGGCAGGGCAGTGAGGGCGGGAGCAGCCGCGATGGAAATGTTGAAGGTGCCGGAGGTAGAGGTGGCGACGGCGGTGAGTGCGGTGGCGGTGGCCGAGGCAACGGTGGAGAGTGCAGTAGCAGAGACAAGCTGCTGCGGCGATGGTGTCCATGGGGATGGATATGTCCGCGTTTTGGGAATGTGAGATGTCAGAGGCTGATATAACAAGATCCACGAAACAAAATTGTGACCACGGTGACTACGGAGTTGCTGGAATGACGGAGGGGTTAGTGTTGCGTGGAGTGAAGGGGAAACTTTTGGCAGGGAGCGCGAGGGATGCAGTGGCGGTGGAAATGCTGAATATGTCGGAGGCAGCGGTGTCTGTGAAGGTGGCGGTGGCGTATTCGAAGGAATTGCTGAAGTGACGTGGAGTGTGCAGTAGCGGAGACAGTGGAGGGAGGCAGCTGTGGTTATGATGTTTACGGGGACAGTTGCGGCCGCAATGGCGGGAATGTGAGATGTCAGAGGCTCGTCAGCATTTAAAACCATCCAAAGGAAGGTAATATTAATTTTAACAATGACATTTAATGTATTATATATGATTTGAATTGTATAATTGTAAAGAACCTGTAACAAGTATTGTAGTTCAGCTTCTGGGTCAATGACCCCCATCTCGATCAGGTTTTCGTCCAGTTTCCCTGATCCTCGAGCAAATGATGAGATAGCCCTTGTTTTACTTCTGGACATAAATGTAACTTCAAATTAACTTCTCCCCATAGCACGTCATACACAGTTTTTAACTGTTTTTGACGTAAATAAATAAAAATAATTAAATAAATTTCCAGGAAAAAAGCTGTGAAGGCGAAGGACATTAAGGCGGTTCTGGGCGCCGGCGCTGATGGAGGTGATAGTGGACGAAGAGAAAACGGCTGCGTAGGCAGCGAGGCCAGCAGATGCAGTTGCGGTGGAAATGTTAAATGTTTCGGCATTGGTGAAGACACGTCGAGAACGGCGACAAATGCCGAGGCGGTTGCGGAGGTTCTGAGCAACTGTGGTTTGGGGAAGAGCTGAAATGACGTGGGTGGACGTAGAAGAAACGGCCGCGGACGCGTTGGCTGGTTAGCAAGGGCAGAGGGTGGCGGTGGCAGGGGCGGTGGCGGTGGAAATCTTGAAGGTGTCGTAAGCAGCGGAGACTGTGACGAAGGCGAAGGCGGCTGCTAAAGGTGATGGAAGAGAAGACGGAGGGGGAGAGGCGACAATTGCGCAGGCGGTGGCCGGGGCAGCGCGCCGCCGTCGACAAGTGATGGGTCAGTTTGTGATGACAGCAACCATGGGAATGATGGCGATGACGGAAGCGATTGTGGAGATTTTAACTTAGTAATGAAATGATACGATGGTATGATACTAGGAGGCGCGTCAGTCTGGAAATGTAAATCTAAAATTTGTAAATGATTTGAGTCGGAGTTATTTCTGTTGCTACCATGGACAGTACTTTCCTATCAATAAAAACCAACATATGTTTTGTTTTTTCAGAATATATGCTTCATTATGAGTAAATGTCGAATACTGGTTGCTCCGGTATTCGACATTTACTCATAATGAAAGTCTTGATATTTATTACAAATGATTAGATGAAAACTAGAACGGCGTAAGTGATATTTTATAAATTCTGAGAAAACGTGTTTATTTTAGGCTTCCTTTCTGTGGCAATGAATTTTCGTGGTTTGAATAAACAATTAAAATGTCTTGGTTTTTAATCATGAAACAAAGCACCACGACTTTACAGTCATATTAACTTAAATAAACAGATTTCTCAGAATTTATAAAATGTCACAAACCATTTTGTTTTTCACCCACTCAAATGTTCCAATAGTGGTGGAGAGAAATGGACAATAACCGACGAGATGGCCAATGGTGAAGTCTAATTCGAAAATGTCACGAAATTGAACGTGGCACAGTAGTCTGGCGGCTTGGATAAAGGGATATAAACAACGCAGAACAGATCATTTATCCGGCAAATCTTGGTATCAGACAAAGAGAGTTGACTACAGTAATGTGATTGTTCGAGTGCGACGAGACATGTGTTCGCAAGAAATATTTTTGGCATAAAAATGCTAAATTATACATCACAAATTCCTATCGAACAGTCAACGGATGTGACTACACTATAACTGCACATTTTATGAAACAATGAAACAATTGAATTAACTACACACCTTTCTCTGTAGCCTATGAAACTTCCCGCCAATATTTTGGTCACTATTTTTCTCATATCTGCTATTCCTTGTCACCATAACGTACTTCATATATCTTAGCAACTTCGTGTTGACTAATGTCAACTTCATTCAAATGCTGCTCGCGAAGTATGCTTCGAAGGTGTGCCAACTTCAGACTTCATCGATCCAATTCGCTTAATGTTAAATTTCGCGGCTAATTCGTGAATTAGCCAAATCCAGCTTTTTTCATTACGTATACAATAATTCACCAGGGTGCTTGTGAAGCAAACTCGATGGGCCTTCTCCAGAGCCGTTCTTGGAGTGTGAGTGCGGCTCCGAGGCGTCAACTGCGGTTGCGGCGGAAGTGCGGCGCGCTACTTTGCATATCGCGGCGGCGGCGGCGACACCGCAGTGGGTCAACGACGGAGGCGTCGACGCGGTCCGGCGCGCAAGCGGGCTGCGCGGGTGGCGGCGGCGGCGATGCGGGCGG